TGAGGCAAAAGAATCGGTTAAGCCCAAGAGTTTGAGGTTATGGCCCTGTGCTGAGGGCAACATAGTGAGACTGTCTCAAACAAAAAAAAAAAAAAAAAGAAAAAAGAGGTATGTTGCAGAAAGAAATGTCTGACAAGTATCAGGTATGGGAACCAGACGCTCTGCTAGTTATTTCAGTTCTTCATTTCAACGACACCGACTAAGCTTGGAAAATTTATGGTTTCCTTTCTCTGAGGTTGAAATGTTCTTTTCTTTTTGGCCAGAGCCGGGTTTGAACCCACCACCTCTAGTATAGGGGGCCAGCATCCTACTCCTTTGAGCCACAGGTGCTGCCCAGGTTGAAATGTTCTTTTTTTTTTTTTTTTTTTGAGACAGAGCCTCAAGCTGTCGCCCTGGGTAGATTGCTGTGGCATCACAGCTCACAGCAACCTCCCACTCTCCTGGGCTTAAGCAATTCTCTTGCCTCAGCCTCCCAAGTAGTGGGGATTACAGGTGTCTGCCACAACATCAGGCTGTTTTTTGTTTTTTCTTTGTAGTTATCGTTGTTTGGCAGGCCCAGGCTGGATTCGAACCCGCCAGTTGCTGGTGCCTTAGCTGCTTGAGCTATAGGCGCCAAGTCTGAAATGTTCTTTTAACTTTATTGGTTAGCTGTGTGAATACAAGTCGTGACAAACTCTTCTTGTGTAAGGAGAGGCTTTTGGTAGAAATAGTTAGAAGAAGAAAAGGAATTGTTTGTTTTTTAAAAAACACATTGGGTTCAGAATCTATTTTGTATTTGCTATTTAAATTTATATGGTGCTGACTAAGCAAAAACAAAAATAGGCTTCCTAACTTTTTATCCCTTTCCTGTCACGTTAATCCGTTTCGTGTCTGTGTGTGTGTGTGTGTGTGTGTGTGTGTGTGTATTGGGGGTATTGTCTTTCAGTCTCTGAAACCACTGGTTCTGAAATGAACTTCAGAAACTAGAGAGGCCTAGGCAGTCAGAAGGGATGAAATCAAAGTGAGGCCAGGATCAAAGGGGCAAACAGCCTGGGTATTCAAGGTGGAAGTGGAGCCATCAACTCCCCTGGGCTGCCTTTTCCTGATCTTCCCTTTAATAAACACCCAGGGCTCCTTCCCCAGGTCTCTGACAGCAGAGGGGCTGACATGAACAACAAAGGGAGCCTAGGGAAGAGAGTACTTAGCACTTGGGGAAAAGGCAGGCCCCTGTGATATTTGGGTGAACCTGAGACAGGAACCGTGGTGGGAAATGCTGAAGATGCAGAAGAGGACAGTGACCCTGAATGGCCTCATTCCTTCCTAGCCCCGTGCAGATAAGCACACCCACCCCCACCGCCACCGCCTCTTGTGTTATAACTGGCTTTCCCCCATTACAGGAGGCATCTCTGAGGCCTGTCTTCTGTTTCACCTTGTCCTCCTTTGTGTCTGCTTCAAGTTACTGACAGACTAAATACAAATAATGACCAAAAGCTCTCAGCAAATCAAGTGGAGAGTTAGCCCAGGCGGTAGACGGGGAGTCTGCAGACCCCAATCTCAGTGACTGCTATCTTTAGCTAACGCTGAACTTCAGTTTGCTATTTTGAAACTGGTAAATTACCAATGTGCTTGATTAGAAAAAAGCCCTTTGGCTCGGCGCCTATAGCTCAACTGGCTAAGGCGCCAGCCACGTACACCTAAGGTGGCGGGTTCGAATCCCCAGCCCGGACCTGCCAAACAACAATGACGGCTGCAACCAAAAAAATAGCCGGGCGTTGTGGCGGGCGCCTGTGGTCCCAGCTACTTGGGAGGCTGAGGCAGGAGACTCACTTGAGCCCAGGAGTTGGAGGTTGCTGTGAGCTGTGACACCACAGCACTCTACCAAGGGCAATGAAGTGAGACTCTGTCTCAAAAAAGAAACAGAGACTTCAGTTTGTAGTTTTTGTAAAAATGCAGATTTCACTAGTTTTTCTGCTGACATTCCTTTTCTTTTCCAGGATCCAATTCAGAATATCACATTACCTTTAGTCACCAAAAATCTAAGGTTTTTGGCTCAGTGCCTGTAGCACAGTGGTTATGGCACCAGCCACATACACTGAGGCTGGCGGGTTCAAACTTGGCCCGGGCCAGCTAAACAATAACTGCAACAACAACAAAAAATAGCAGGCATTGTGGTGGGTGCCTGTAGTCCCAACTACTTGGGAGGCTGAGGAACGCATTCATCACTGCAGCCTGTAACCAGGGCCTAATGATCACAATGTACCTGAAAGACAAAAACCCCCAAGACTAGAGAGGGGCTAGAGGAGGGTGTGACCCTTCTCCTGAGGGTGGCAGAGGAGCTCAGTGTGACCGTAGGGTTAATGTCTCAACTTGGCACACTGGCTTTGAAGTTATATGGGTCCCTGTCTGGGTTGTGGTGCATTTCCCGATCTATAAAATTGGTATAGGAATAGCACACACAAAGCATGGCCTAGCACAGTGCCACTTCATTAATGGATTTTTGAAATAATGAACTAAAGAATGAATGAGGGTTGGGCGAGGTGGTTCATTCCTATAATCTTAGCACTTTAGGAAGCTAAGGTGGGAGGATTGCTCAAAGCCAGGAGTTTGAGACCAACCTGAGTAAGAGTGAGACCTCAGTTCCACAAAAGCAGAATAGTTTTCCAGGTATGGTGACATGTGCCTAATGTCCCAACTACCCAGGAGGCTGAGGTAGGAGGATCACATGAGTCCAGGAATTTGAGGTTGCAGTGAACTATGCAGACCCCATTACACTCTAGCTGGGGAGAAAGGAAAGGAAAGGAAAGGAAAAGGAAAAGGAAAAGGAGGAAAAAAAAGAACAAATGAGCATAGAAAAATAGGTCTAGGCTCGGCGCCTATAGCTCAACCGGCTAAGGCGCCAGCCACGTACACCTAAGGTGGCGGGTTCGAATCCCCAGCCCGGACCTGCCAAACAACAATGACGGCTGCAACCAAAAAAATAGCCGGGCGTTGTGGCGGGCGCCTGTGGTCCCAGCTACTTGGGAGGCGGAGGCAGGAGACTCGCTTGAGCCCAGGAGTTGGAGGTTGCTGTGAGCTGTGATGCCATGGCACTCTACCCAGGGGGACAGCTTGAGGCTCTGTCTCAAAAAAAAAAAAAAAAAGAAAGAAAAATAGGTCTAACCCCCCCCCCCCCATAAAAAAGAAAAATAGGTCTAACCGCCCATCCCATACTTTGCTAGCCTGAAAACCTCAGGGACCTGACAAAAGAATAAAAGAGGAAGGGAAGAAGGGGAAAAGAAAGAAAGGTGTGTGAGAGAGGGAGAGATGGAGGAGCCAGTGTTGGTATAGTGAGGCCACTTAGAAAAGCCTCAGCAGCTGCACTGAGAGTCTGGGACACAGTACCCGGCTCGCCACCTTCTGCCCCAACCAGGAGAGAATGAAGCCCACTACTCCTCTTTGCAGCGGCCCCAAGAATACTTTGCTTTGACACTTGGAATGTCCACTCAGGATGAAAACACCTAAGTCTTGTGAGAGACTGTTAGCATTCCAGAATGGAAAGAGGCAGGAGGGAGACTGTGCCCTGAAAGCCTTCCCAATAAAGAGTCCCCTTTGAATGGTCTTGGTGAAATCAGTGCTCAGGTGTTGGGAGCAAGGAGACTGGGACCTCCCTGCTTTTTTCCTGAGGACTTACACTGTGCCCAGGCAGCTCTCCCAGTGGACCACTGGTGTCTTTTCTCTAAGGTGAAGTGGGGGGCATCCAATTCAACAGACATTCATTGAAGGTCCAGGGTGGTGCCTCACCCAGAATAGGTGTACACACAGACACTCAGTAGAGGACTGAATAAACAGCAGAAGTGGATTCCTGTTAAGACTTTATTTTTTAGAGAGTTACACCTCGCTAGAATGCCCTGGCGTTACAGCCTGTGCACAGCAACCTCAAACTTGGGCTCAAGTGATTCGTTTGCCTCAGCCTCCGGAGTAGCTGGGACTGCAGGCGCCTGCCACAACGGCTGTTTTTTAGAAATAGGGAATTATTCTTGCTCAGGCTCTAACTCCTGAGCTCAAGCAATCCACTCACCTCGGCCTCCCAGAGTGCGAGGATTACAGGTGTGAGCCACTGTGCCCGGCCCTGCTCTCAAAGACTTTATAATCTAGTAGGCAGATATGTAAATCACAACCATAGTACAAAGCAGGATAACACGGGAGCCTTCAAAGAGCCCCAAGGGCAGAGGGAGGAACGAAGCTCTGGAGTATCTTCAGAAAGGCCAAATTAGGCGTCTGGTAATTGGTTGACAACTGGGGCGGGGGGTGGAGGGGTGGGGGCGCCGTTGTCAACCCGGCCCCGCCTAAGACAGCCTGACGGGTGGGACCATGCGGATATTCCAGGCAGGGGCTCCCCCACCCTTTTCCCTGGAGAAGTGTACTGCCCCCCTTGAGGGTCCTTTATCTTTACCCCTGCTCAGATTCGGATGTGTTAGGGAAACTTGCAGAGGGCAGAGGCTGGGCTGTTTATCTAACCTGGTATAAGGTCTAGCACGTAGCAGGGGTGGTAAATAAATGCCTTTGATAATGACAGGAGGAAGAAAAGGCAAGGCGTGATGCCCGCCCGGGTCAAGTGAGACACAGCTCGGCCCAAGGCCCTGGGGCTTCTCTGACTCGGAGGAGGGAGTTTCTGCCCGCACTGGGCCCACGCACTCGGCCACTCCGGGCTGCCCCTCGCCGAGCAAAACTTCTTTAGATGTTGATTGCGGTGTCAGGGCTGGCGGGGCTGGTGGGGCTGCGAGGCGGATGAGCCGAGGAGGCGACGGAGGGGGCCTAGTCCCAAGTTCACGCCTCCCTCCCTCCATCCCACGGTCAGCGGAAGCGATTATTCCCACCGGAGTCTGGCGGGCCTGGGGGCGGGCTCGCACCCCCAAGAGACACGGGCCTCCCCGCGCCCACTCCTTTGATGGCACCGCCACCGGCGGCCCCCTCCCTCGGCCCCCAGTCGGTATAACTAGAGCCCGTGCACCTCCCGGGTGGCGCTCTGGGGTCTGGGAGCGATGGCCGCCGCAGAATCCCGCCAGCTCCAGTTCGCCGAGGGCGCCACGTTCCCAGCGTACCGGCCGGCCCACGCCGGAGGGGCTTTCCTGCCATCGCACAGCCCCGCGCCTGCCCTGCTCCCCGCGACCCTCGCGGGCCCCGGCCCGGACCGCGGCGCGCCGGCACCCTTCGCGGGCTTCCTCAGCTGGGGCTCCGGGCGGCCCCCGCCGCTCCCTGTCGGCCCGGGCTCGCGATCGCCCCCCAGAGGCGCGGCCGCCCCGTCGGCGTCGCAGCGCCGCAAGCGCACGTCATTCAGCGCGGAGCAGCTGCAGCTGCTGGAGCTCGTCTTCCGCCGGACCATGTACCCCGACATCCACTTGCGGGAGCGCCTGGCAGCGCTCACGCTGCTCCCCGAGTCCAGGATTCAGGTGAGCAATCTATCGCCTTCACAGATGTGCCCCGGAGTAGAGGCACCGGGGGACTCTGTGGGCCACACCCCGGTGCCCACTTACTTGCGGGACGCTGGGTAAGTTGCTTCCCTTGAGCCTCACTCAGTGTTCTGGACTGCACAATGAGGATAATATTGTTAGGCTTAAATAAAGTAATTCAGGCATGCATTCAATGACTTGTATGTCTCATTATTAGCGTAAGGGCTCCTAGGAGGCGATCTGCTCCCTTGAAATGGCCAGAAAGTAATATCCAGCGTATTTTTATACTTTCCCTTATCTAGGAAGAAGACACAGATGAGGTGCAGTTGAGATTTCCCTCTGCCTTTGAGTTTGAGAATGGTAGCTGAGAAAAGGCAGGGCTGGCTCACCAAATTACCTCCTAGGGCGCTTTCTTGGCAAGTATCGGTTCTGGGATTTGGGTTTGAAAGGACGCAGCATCTTGGGGGGAAAGCCTTTAGCATTTGGAGCTTGTCAGTTTGAAAAATCTAGTACAAGGCGTGTTTATTGTCTAATTTATTTATTTTTTGAGACAGAGTCTCACTTTGTCACCCTCAGTAAAGTGCAGTGGTATCATAGCTCACAGCAACCTCTAACTTTTGGGCACAGCGATTTTTTTTTTTTTTTTTTGAGACAGTGCCTCAAGCTGTTGCCTTGGGTAGAGTACTATGGTGTCAGCTCACAGCAATCTCCAACTCCTGGGTTTAAGCGATTCTCTCGCCTCAGCCTCCCAAGTAGCTGGGACTACAGGCACCCGCCACAACACCTGGCTATTTTTTGGTTATAGTTGTCATTGTTGTTTGGCAGACCCAGGCTGGATTCGAACCTGCCAGCTCTGGTGTATGTGGCTGGTGCTTTAGCTGCTTGAGCTAAAGGTGCCGGGGCTCAAGAGATTCTCTTGCCTCAGCCTCCCGAGTAGCTGGGACTTTAGGTGTCTGTCACAACACCCTGCTATTCTTAGAGGCAGGGGGTCTCAATCTGTATCAGGCTGGTCTCCAACCAGTGAGCTCAGGCAATCCACCCACCTAGGCCTCCCAGAGTGCTGGGATTACAGGCAGGAGCCACCGCACCTGGCCTAATCTAAATTAATTGAGATCAGAATCTTGGAGTTAGGGCCTGGCACAGTGGCTCATGCCTGTAATCTTAGAACTCTGGTGGGGCTGAGGAGGCACAGGTTTGAGACCAGCCTGAGCAAGAGCAAGACCCCTGTCTCTACTAAAAATAAAAAAAACTGAGGCAAGAGGATCTCTTGAGCCCGAGAGTTGAAAGTTGCTGTGAGGTATGATGCCACCCCACTCTACCCAGGGTGACAGCTTGAGACTCTGTGTCAAAAAAAAAAAAAAAAAAGAAAAGAAATCTTGGAGTTGGTAGTGAGAAGCCTGTCTTTTTGCCTGTTGGTCTGTAGCACCTTGATCTGTGTGCAGGAGCCCTCAGTTTAAATACTGGGAAAGAGTAGCCTTATTTTTTTGCATCTCTGGTGGTCACAACAGCTGTCAATTTCAATAGTTGGCAGAGTCTTCCTAATCAGGATACAGCATAAGTGGGGAGTGGAAATAGAAATTTTTTTTGCACGCAAGTCCACTGAGCAAAATACCTCCTTGATTAGCTTGACAAGGGAATACAGACTTTCAAAAACTGATTTCTAGGCTTGGTGCCGTAGCTCAGAGGCTAGAGTGCCAGCCACATACACTGGAGCTGGTGGGTTCGAACCCAGCCCAGGCCTGCCAAACAATGACAACTACAACTGAAAAATAGCCAGGTATTGTGGCAAGTGCCTGTAGTCCCAGTTACTTCAGAGGCTGAGACAAGAGAATGGCTTAAGCCCAAGAGTTTGAGGTTGCTGTCAGCTGTGGCTCCAGTCGAGGGCAACATAGTAAGACTCTGTCAAAAAAAACAAAACCCTGATTTTCTAGGCTGGGCGAGGTGGCTCACGCCTGTAATCCTAGCACTCTGGGAAGCCAATGCAGGTACATTGCCTGAGCTCACGAGCTTGCTACCAGCCTGAGACAGAGTGAGACCTCATCTCCAAAATATAGCCAGGCATTGTGGCAGGCACCTGTTTCCAGCTATTTGGGAGGCTGAGGTAAGAGAATCGCTTGAGCCCAAGAGTTAGAGGTTGCTGTGAGCTGTGATGTTGTGGCACTCAACTGAGGGTGATAAAGTGAGACTCTGCTCAAAAAACCCCGATTTTTAAAATAATTTTAACACCTGTCTTACAAAGCAGAGTAGCACTATTTTCCTACAAATTCTAAATGTTTCTATTTGTGACCCTATTTTTCATGAAATTGTTTCTAAATAAAGAACAGACAAAAGCAGGCTATTGGGTGGGGTGGCTCAATGCCTGTAATCCTGGCACTCTGGGAGGCCAAGGCAAGAGAGGATTGCTTGAGCTCAGAAGTTCAAGATCAGCCTGAGCAAAAGTGAGACTCTGTCTCTACTAAAAATAGAAAAATTAACCTGGCTTGGTGGTAAGAGTCTATAGTTCTAGCTACTCAGTTGTCTGAAGGCAGGAGGATCACTTGAACCCAGGAATCAAAGGCTACAGTGAGGTATGACAACACCACTGCACTCTAGCTAGAGTGAGACCCTATCTCAAAAAACAAAACAGGCTCGGCGCCTATAGCTCA